AAAGAGACTAAATATATACATGTATACATGGAATTTTTATGCTACTACAGTTGAATGTATTGGCTTCATCACTTTAATTTTCTTACACCCTTGCTAATTCTTTCAATACCTTTACTCAGCGTGGGTCAGTCTAAATATGATAAGATAGGGCATAAAAAGATTTTTTTAAATGGAAGAATTGCTCTGATCTGAGGTTCAGCTAATAAACCGGGATAAACCAGAGGCAGAGAGAGGATTGAAGATTTGAGTACATTTAATAAGAATGACCTCTCATATTTGTAAAGCTCTTAACAGATTTCACCCTCATCAGTAACCGCTGATACTGTAGATCTCAGAGAGAGCATTTTCAGTGGTAGAAACCTGGCTAATAGGAATTAAGAGATGAGTGAATGGGTAAAAAATCAAGGTAGGGAAAAGACTTTTCTTTTGAGATGTTTGCTATTAAAGGAACTATATGATGCTAAGATGACTGGAAGAATAAAAAAGGCACTTTGTTACATTATATTTTGATTCACTAGAATATATTTATGGGTAGAGAAGAAATGCATAAATGAGAAATCAACGTATAAATATCGAGCTAGAGGAGGAAAGGATCATGTTCTCCAACAGAGAGAGGGTAAAATGGGAAAAAGAATAAATGAATATGGAAAAACACTTTTTGTTTGGAATAAAAACACCAAGAATGTTAATTTTGTGAGATTCTGTAATTATAGTGGCAGCATTTCTCTTGACAAAGAGAAGATGGAAAAGAATTTAGAACCTGCTAGAGAAGTTTGTAACTGATGTTGTAGGACACAACATGGAAATTAAATAAGGGTTGCTGAAAAGAGCAGTTAAGTACTCAGCTGATATTGAAGTAAGTAGACACCACTTAGCGAATTTCACAGCAATGCCCCGCAGAGAGGGAGCAGGAGCTTAGATGGCATGTGGTATGATTTACCTAGGGTTGAAGAATATGTGAAACCTAAAGAATGTAAAAATTGTTATGTTAAAACAAACTATTAGAATTTCTATTTCATTTTGATTTTTAATCTTTGACAGGTAAAAGTTTTTAAGACTTAACCCCTGCAAACTGGCCACCCAGAGAAGGCATTGATGTCCTACAAAGTATCATGGAAACCAGCTGTGATCCAATGCTTTGGGCAACTGATTCTGGTCAGTGCCACGGCTGGCATCCCACCTCCACATCGTGCCAGGGAAGGAGCTGGTGCTTTATTAGCTATGAAGGTTGATATGTGCTTTCTATATAATGAAGTTTACATTACAAAGCTTGGATTCCAACTTCATCACCCCACCATTGAAGGGATCGCTGTATACTCATCTGTGAGGGCCGATAAACTATGTTTACAATAGCATACAACTTCAAGTGCATGGCTGTTCTTCCACCCGATGACCGTGTCAGGAAAGAGACTGGTTCGGCAAGAATAAGGTTGGAGTCAATATATGGCACGACGTATTATTATTGTAACCTGGCTCTTTATCATGACAGGGGAGGGTGGTTCTTCCCTGATTTTGTAGTTTAAAAGTTCCACAAAAACCCAGGGCTTCTGTGATCCTCACCAGAAGCCTGAGGTCTGTTCCTAAAAGATTTCTGTGCTCTAACACAGCATATGATGGGACAAAGAGGCCGGAGCACCTGCCATGGATCCTACCTCCTTAAGTTTGCCCCAGTGAATGTTGTCCTATCATTCTGGTATATGTGTGTGTGTTACTTGGCCATTTTCCAATAATCAAAAAAGGTCTGAAGACATCATCTCTAGCATGATGAATGGATCTTGGTGATTGGCTAACCAGAGATAAGGAGATAAACCAGGGCCAGGGGGAATTGATTAGTTTTTACAATAAGCTGGAGCCAATGTACAAGGGAAAACAGAAAATCAGCAAGTATAAAGTGGTGGGAGGAGCTTAAGGACAGGAGACTGTAGTCAGAGAGGAGAATTTCATGATTTGAAGTAATGCATGTAAGCAGTAGTGTATTATGTCCAGGTTTAAACCAATGACCCGGAAATAAGTAATGAGAAGGCAGTATGCTGGAAATCTGTTTTTAAAATTGTGTAAAATTTACTCTGTTAAAATTCTAAGAAGGATTTATTGTTCACAAAATTACTTATGGTATATATTTCTGGCATATATTTCTTTTTTGTATTTTTGTTTATTATTTCTGGACTCAATTTTTGATAGAATTCTAGTAAATGGGAAAATAGATGAGTTGATGGAACAAACCTAACACATAGTCTTCTAGAATTGAGGAAATTACAGTTCATCCACTGGACTTTGAAAAAATATTGGTTATTACAATGTTGAGTTTAATTTGTTTATTGAATTATCTAGAAAATATATTCAGGGAAGTTCATCAAGACTTCCTAACTTATGCTTGGGGCATAGACATTAGATACAATAGTGCTATTAGTAGAAAACTATCTTGAGTGAAGGTCTTTTTAAATTTTATTTATTTATTTTTTTTGAGACAGAGTTTCCGTCTGAGTGCAGTGACATGATCCTGGCTCACTGCAACCTCTGCCTCCTGGGTGCAAGCCATTCTCCTGCCTCAGCCTCCCAAGTAGATGGGACTACAGGCACTCGCCACCATGCCCAGCTAATTTTTGCATTTTTAGTAGAGATGGAATTTCACCATATTGGCCAGGCTGGTCTCAAACTCCTGTATTTGTGATCCAACCTCCTTGGCCTCCCAAAGTTCTGGGATTACAAGTGTGAGCCACCATGCTTGGCCAAGTTCTTTAGTGATATTGGTTTTAATTTAGCTAATAAACTTGAGGCAAAGTAAATAATATCACAAATATATTCTATGAAACTTGTTATTGAAGTATAAAATGTTGATATAGTAGACAGAATATTAATAACACTATTGTTGGCATTATTAATTATACGAATTGTCATAAAAGGCTCAATGAAAATCATTAAAAAATAAAAACATGTTAAATACCTGAAGAGAAGATAGGTATATTTAGGATTTCTATGGTTTGCTCATTGTAAATAAAAGTCAAATCAAACTGAGAATTTTCTCAATTCAGGACATTATGTTTAAAATTAGGTGCATCTTGAAATTGATGCTCCCCTTCATTTTAATAACATCCTTATTAACTTACACTATAATTCTAAATTTTTAGGATGCCTAGTTGGTTGTAGTGAAAATATCCTGTAAAATGTAATAATATTTTATATTTTATTTGTCACTTCAGTCTTACAGTGATGTTGAACTGTCTGTAGAAATTAGCAAATGGAGATGATAGGATTATGGCCATTATAAATATAAAGAAATAACACACTTTAACATTTACTCTCACTCTAAGACTTTAAACAGCAAATGGATACAGTCAAGTTGAAGATTTTTTTCTCTGAAATTGTTTAAGTAATTAGAAAACTGACCATCTAACTCACAAAATCAGCAAAAGAAAAAGGGAAATGTGAATCTTTACTTCTCTCCCTAGCTATGAATATCTCATGTGAATTTTTCTGGGTTGTCTGGTTTGCAGGTTGTTGTGCTGACAGAATTTAAAAGTTTTCTTCCAGATTGACTTAAATCAGAACAAAATATCGGGTTCGGGCAGTATAAGTTATAGTTTGTAACATTAGGCAAACATCAGAGAATTTAGCTGTGTTTTGGATTTGTTCACTTGTTACAGGTGCCTAAATTATGATAACTTATAGTTGATAATTGTCAAAAAGTTCGAAATTGCAATATTTTTACTCTTGTTGAGGAGGGAAAAATGAAGGATTTTTCATGTCTCTCAGATATATTGGCCTATTCTCCAAATGACAGGTTCCTGACTGATCAACTGTACCACCTGCTACTAAAGCTCAGTAATATTAGTCTCTGCTATGGTTTCATTCTCATCTCACACCTCTGAGATCTTGTGCTCAACCCCAGGCATCCCTTGTGTGTTTAAATCAGCTTAACAGCTCATACAGTGTGCTGATTTCCTTGTAGGCCTCTGTTTTCTCAAAAAGTGATCACCTTTTGCCAATGCCCTCAGGATTAAACAGGGCAGTCTGGTTTTCCTTTTCTGCATTGGCTATACCTTTGTAGTCAATAAAAGACTAACTAGAAAAGAATCAGCTGATGAGAGAATCAATCTTCTGGAAGCCTCCCCACAGTTTTCTCATCATTTTTGTGCCGTCTGTCATCTCAGATTGTAAAATGGAAACCAAAACTCAGTATGTGGGAAGACTTTTACTGCTCCTTGTTAACAAAAACAGTAAGACCAGGGGTTTTGATCTTATGAGTGTATAGGTAAACAGTAAGCTGTAAGTGCACACTCTTGAAGTGGCTTTTCTCTGTTTCTAATGGAGGTTTGCAAAGAATTATCAAAGTGGTATCAAAAAGGTCTCCTAACATACTGTAGTGTGGATATCCATTCTGAGGAGGTCAGGTTAAATCTGAAGGTCTTATAGACGATGATACTGGGGTACGTTGTGGTACAGCAAGCAATACAATCTGCTTCTCAATAATAGTCATAAAAATAGAGAAATGTAAGAAAGGATTTTTCCTGCATATTTATATCAGGTTATATTGCATTAATTTATTTCTGTAGCAATACATTTCTGTAGCAAGTGACATTTTGCCTCATTTAACTTTTATTTGAACAACTTTATCTCACATAATTTGCTTTATTGTAGAATATTCAAAAATATCTGTGAAATACATTCAGATTACTTTGGCAGATAAAGGTTATTTCTTCATATGCCCCATTGTATATATTTCCTCCAGCATCAGAGCATCTGAAAATAATTTTTGTCCTCCTTTTGCTTTATGATTTTAGATTGTTTGTATTTTGAAAGCACAATGAGAAAAGGGAATTTGAACTTGCTAACTGATCCTATTAAAATACAAAATATGGTTTGAAATTTGCTTTTTTTTTCTCCTGTTCAGTTCAGGCTTTCAGTCAGTTATAATGCTATCAGAGCTGTTTGGCTTCTCCCTCTGGTAATATATAACATACCTTTAATAAAAATAAAAATACATTTTTAGTATCTTTAAAGGTGCAAAATCTGTTGTAAATTCTTCTGAGATGCATCATATTATTGAATATAAAGAAGTAGGATGATTTCATTACTTCTATTAGATGTCATTGAAGTAGCCCAATGATTTAATTGTTACTGCTTACTAGAGCTGGGAGTATGGTTTGGTGAGAACAAGATTGGCATTTTTCTATTGTTTATTAATTTACTTGTTACTAGAAATTTGAATGTGTCAATATTATATTTTGCATTATGAAGATATTTAAAAATGTTTGGATCTGTATATGGATTTTAGGGAAACAACAATACTACTTGAAGGGGGAAAGGCATTTATTTCATTTTTCTAAATATCTGAAACTTATTTCAGTTTGAATCATATATGAAGTCTGGTACTAAAATGAAAAACTGGGTGATTGAATATTGTTAGTTCATCATTTTACTGCTCTTACCATTAACATTGGTTGACTATTCATAACGTTCTTACCATACTATTGACTGGTTGCTCATAAAGTATGTATTTTTTTTTTCTGGAAAAGATGTAATTTTGTAGTATTTTTAATAATGCAAAAAATCTGAGCTTAATCAAATAATCTGAAGCAGATTAGTCACAATATATATATACTTCCTATATTTTCAAGCTAGTTCTCTCAATATTTGATATTGCCTCTTTTTCTCATTGTAAATTGTCCTTTGCTGTTTCAGTTTAATATTTATTTAGTTTTCCATCCCCCCTCCAGTCACTTATTGTAGCTAAGCTTTCCTGAGGAAATAAGGCAGAACCCTTTTTCTTTCTCATAACCCATACACTAACATTATTTTTTGTGTTGTTTTTTCACAAAGAATCTAAATGCTATGATGGCAGGATCCTCACCTGTCATATCTTAATGGCATCTTCTATATCTGACACATAGAACGTACTTAATTAATAGCTATTGATTTAATAAAAGATGGAACTGATAGGGGATGCTTATATCTGAGAAGACAGAAATTCTTACATATCTTAATACCCAGGCTGTAAAAACTGTTATGGCATGTGCTACTATGGTGTACAAAATAGTATTACTGTTTTCAAGGTGTTTACCAAAAGCAGTTTTTGCATTAAGAGCAGGAAATATTACAAGGATTCTCTTCTGTATGTTATATATCTTTTCTCTACTCAAGGAAAGGCACTTTTATAAAAGACAAAGTTGGTGGTACTTCCCATGAAACCATTACTTGAAGATGCACGTTGTCATAACAGCAATGAGAGAAAAAGTGTGAGTAATCCAGTCAATGACATTATATTCAAGTTTTTATGTCCAGTATATTTTAACTTATTTTTTAACCAGTGTTTGTTTTGATGTTGTATACACAAACTGATGGTGATGCTATTCAAATAAATAATATATCATGTACTGTATAATGACATTTCTATCAATGATGAGCTGCATGTACAACAGTGGTGCCATAGCTTATAATATTATATTTTTATGGTGACTTATCTGTCTTTAGATACACAAATACTTGCCATTGTGCCACAATTGCCTGCAGTATTCAGTACAGTAACATGCTGTGCAGATTTGTAGCCTGGGAACAACAAGCCATATACCATAAAACTGAGGTGTGTAGTGGGCTCTACCATCTAGGTTTCTGTAAGTACACCCTATGATGTTGGCACAAATAAATTGCCTAATGACACCTTTCTCAGAACACATCCCAGTGACATATGACTGTACTTAACTGAACTCTAGTTAGGACATTAGTTGTTATTCACATTGGCATCTTGTAAATATTAGGCTTCTCTCAGTATTGCAGTCAATGTAGATGGAATAGGGCATAGAATCAAGCATTCTAGACAAGGGAAAAATAGCAAGCCTACTGTAAAATTACATATATATATATATATAACAAGGAATGTATATGTTCTATGCAAAAAGTGTCCTTTTTAATCGTCTATCTAAGTGATATCTATCTTACTTAAATACATGTATACGTAATAAAGTCATTGAAACATTTGCATGCTTAATTATTTTGGTGCCAATTTCAGAAAAAAAAATTACTGTAATATTCCACATCATTCTCTGGTTTAACGTGACCTGTGCTTTTGTTTTCCAGTTACATACAGTTTTCATGTCTAATGCTCTTCTCTTCATTTTTTTCATCTTCTGGCAAGTGTAAATTTATTGTACTATTTAAAGTACTGTGCCCATCCAATATAATCCAGCCTTCTATCCTACATAGAATCTTTGATAAGAATTCAGTATTCAAAATTCTGTTACTTCCTTTTACTATTGCTGTGGTAAACTCATTAGACATCAGTAGTTTGCCTGAAATAGGAAACCCGAAGTACAAGGTACAAGTTAATAAAGAAAGCATACATAGTAATAGAGGCATCAGTGATATCTGATCATGAGTAACTCCTAATTATGTTATTGACATAATCATAATTTCTATAATTAATTACAATAATTTATTGCTGCATGAATGAAATAGTAACATAAAATATTCACCTTTCACCCTGTTTCAGAATAAGAATTTAAAGCCATATGTGACGATCCTACAATGAAACATAAAAAAACTTTTAAAGTTGAGCGAATTGAGGCAGAGAAAAAAATTAGATATAGAAAAAAACATTAATTATGTGGAGAAATTTGGTACACAAAATGCAGGACAACTTTGCTGCCCTAGTAGAGATGGGTCACACGTTGGCTTTAAGCTTCCAAGTAGCCTATATGAAAAAAAATTATAAGTTACATAATTCATAATATCCATCATATAAAAATAATCGAGTTGCCTTGGCAACACAGAGATACTGCTAACAAAGGTAAAGTGGGTCTTCACTGAGCAGGCATTGTCTAACTTAGGGAATATTGTCCAAAGGGAATAGAGTAACCAATTTCATATGGCTATTTCTTACGATATTCCTCAGTAGAGGTTGATGACATCTTAGCAAATTATCATTTATAGAAAGCTATTTTACAATTATGTTTACGTTAGCCAATACTCTTACAGAGAGTGGAATTATGCAGGATCCTTGTCAATTACACTCAAAATTAAGAAAAGGGGTAAAAAGAAAGAAATGCTTTTTTCCTCCATGTAGATGCAAACACACTGGAGTTGGGTCTTAACCTGAGGTTCAGGAACTAAGAGACCTATGCGTAGAATCCAAGGGATCACAAACATGGTGGGAACAATTACACCTTAATTTTCACTTACTCCTAATTGAAAATTAGCATTTCTTTCAAGTATGGATGTAGGTAAAATTCATTGTAATCTTAGCTGGACCTGGGCCTTTTCTATCTATAGAAATAACTGACATTTTAATATCACATTGTATTTGAGGATGCATTAAATATTGTTCATGTTCATCCTTATTGAGATATTCAGTAGTTATTAGACTAACCACTGAATCTTGATATTTAATGTATTAATAATAAAGCATCTATAATGCTATAATATGAATTTGTTCTTTTAATATTTTGGTTAACTATGTTTTAACATAAGTTGTTTTTCTTTGTAGGCATATTTTGAATAATAATATGTTATCAAATAACTTATTCATAAACTTTGGAGTGTAGCCACAAGACCTACGGTCCAAGATGATTGGGAGGCAGACCACAAGACACCTTCTGCCAGCCTTACCACTAAACTATTACAGGGTGTATTTATTTTCTAATGCCACAGTAACAAAGTACCACACAAATTGGGTGGTTTTCAAAGACAAAAATTTCTTGTCTCACAGTTCTGGAGGTTAGAAGTCCAAAATCAGGGTGCTGAGAGGGCCATACTCCCTCCAAAATTTCTGAGGAAGTACCATTTTTTGCCTTTTATAGCTTCTGGTAACTTCTAGGCATTTCTCATCTTGTAGAAGTATTACTCCAAAACATGCCTTCCTCTCACATACTTACGTGGCATTTTCTCTGTGTGCCTGTGTCTTTAAATGGTCTCCTCTCTTTGTATAGGGACAATAGCTATATGGGATTGAGGGCCCACTCTACTCCAGTATGACCACTTCTTAACCAACTAATCTGCAATGACATTATTTCCAAGTCAGATCACATTCACTGGTATGCAGGTTTAAACTTCAATATATGTTTGTTGGGAGACACAATTCAACCCCATACACTTGAGAAAGATGTCATTTCCATATCTAAGTCATTCTATTTTGTGGCCTCTGTTTCATGAACTCAGCCTATACCCAAACAGACATATTTTGCAACCAAAATTAAGATGAACTCGATGTAAGCTACAGAACTCTTGTGAGGTACTGATTGCCGAAGTAAAAAACTACCTATAGTATTTTTCAGTCTATGATCACTGTGTTCTCTGGTCAACTGACAAAATAATTCCTCTAGTGCAATCCAGCCTACATCCTGTTTTTGTTAATAAAATTGTATTGGAGCGTAATCACATTCATTCATGTAATTATTGTCTGTAACTGCTTTCACATTACAATGGCAAAATTGTGTAGCTGCAATAGAGATTGTATAGCCCACAAAGTCAAACACGTAAGTATCTGACTCTTTGCAAAAAATGCTTGCTGACCCCCTCCCTAGGACACAAGAGAGGTAGATGATCAAGAGGTTTGTCTTATTTTGCCATGTGTTCTTAGTACTATAAGGTTGTAGGAATCTTATTAAATAAGAACTCGAAGAACAAACCAGATAAGAGAACATGAACTAGACCTTAAACTGAGCCTACAAATTGCTCAAAACACATTTCTAGTTACAGGACACATTTACCTGTCATTGAGATCAATTTTCTAAGGATAATAATAGGAAGAAAGTACAGTTTCCAATTTCAAATTTCCTTAATAATAAGAAAGCAATAATAAATTAAAACTCACTTGTAATAGGGAAAAAATGATTATTTTGAATCAAGAGAGTGAAATTCTAACAAGAACAATCATTGGTATAATTGTATGATATTTCTCACTTCCACTAGCATTATTAATGGGACTACCATTTGACCTGACAATGAGAACAGCTTCCCTTGTGGCATTTTGGCAGTTCTATTTCTGTTCTTTGAGAAATAAGGAACAGACAAAGGATAAAAGTCCTTGCTCAAGCTGCTGAAACAATAACATAATGTGGAAAATTTCCAGTTACTCCAGAGCTCAAAGGACCCCATTTTTATGGCTTCTTGAGAGCTTGAAGCTTGATGGACACTCACAGAAAAGACCTTAGTTTCCTTGAAATCAGCAGTCAATATGGGGGAATATCACTGCCTGTGGGGTCCTATAGACAAAGGAGTATAGCAAGGAAATTTCCTTTGGAAAGAAAAATCATGTGAAGCAATAACAAAAGACCACAGACTAGTACTGATTATTAGATATTTAGGGTGTTTTGCTGCACGAATAGGAACTTTGCCAATATAGGCTCAGCTAAGTTACTATAAGCACAAGGATCCTACTGTCATGGCCATGCACCTCCTGAATCATACACCTCCTGTTAAAAGAATTCTACTATAGAACGTCTTGCTGATTCTTTAATGAATAGTTTTTAACATGCCTGGGAGGAAAACAGAAATGACAGTATAGTTGACACAGGTTCAAGAATAGGATTAGGACGCCAAGGATTGCACTAATGCCAGAACTTGGCAGATCTTAAAAAAATGCTAGCAAACCTAAGTCCAAAATCATGACAGACATTTTAAATGGGGAGACATTCTCCTGAAGCTACCCTGTTATTGCCTGAATTATGGTATCTCTTGATCTAACCTATAATGAACTATTACTTTGTAAGGAAAGTTTTCTTTCACCATTGTCTTTTCATTTCCTCCCATTTCCATCCGCTTCTTCTCCTCTTCCGACTTGTTATGCTGTTTGAATGCTTTTGTCTGCAGGGAGATGTGATAAAATACTACTACACACCAAATGTGTGAAGAGGTGAAAAAGTATAACAAAGGCTTCGTTAGATGTTTTTCTAAACTCTATAGTAAAGAAAGTAAATTTTAAATGAGAGTGGAATAACATTTAGCACGGATACTTGAAGAACAGCATATATCACTCTGAATAACTTATACAAAGAAGTCACAGGCCAAATTTGAAAGTTTAGGAAGCCTCTTTACAAAGGCAGACCAAACATACAGTGTACACACCTGGAGCCTGAAAATAGAATCCATAAGAGGAAGGAGAGTGAGCTAAGCCAAAGGAATAAACAAACGTTGGAGAAAGAAAAGTACAAGGGTTTTGAGAAACTGATGAGTAGGACATTAAAGAATATAAAAAGACTTGATGGGGAAACACAATTTTGAAAAGAAAAGTAGAAATCAGACTATAAAAGAATTCAAATGCTTATTTAATATAATTAAGCAAACATTAATTGTGCCCTGTTGAAAATGCTCTTGGAGCAATTCTGCATAAGACACAGCCTGGTGGTAGAGAGAGGCAAATAAATAATATTTCAAATCAAAATGGTAGGAGTTAAGACAGAAGTGTGCTCAGACTATGTACGGTGATACAGAGAGTAGATACTTTAAAGAAAAGTTCTTGGCCAGGTGTGGTGGCTCATGTCTGTAATCCTAACACTTTGGGGGACAAAGGCAGGTGGAATTCTTGAGCTCAAAAGTTCAAGAATAGCTTGAGCAACATGGCAAAACCCCTATATCTGCAAAAACATGCAAAAATTAGCAGGGCGTTGTGGCATATGACTATAGTCACAGCTACTCAGGAGGTTGAGGTGATAGGAGCACTGAGCTAGTCCAGGGAGGTTGAGGCTGCAGTGAGCCATGACTGTGCCACTGTGCTCCAGCCTGGGGGACAGAACAAGACCTTGTGTCAAAAAAGAAAGAGAGAGAGAAAGGAAGGGAGGGAGGAAGGGAGAGAGAAAGGAAGGAAAGAGGGAAGGGAGGGAGGGAAGGAAAAGTTCTTGGAATCAATAATGCCTTGGACAAGTTCTAGAAGCTGTATGTAAGCCACCTGTTTTAGAAAGCTGGAAATAGCCTTTTCAGTAGAAAGGCCATAATGAAAAATAAAAAGAACGAGGTGACAGAAGCATCAACAATCTGGTACTACTAGGGCAATAAGGAGTGAAATCAGGTTAGAAATTCAAGAAAGGTATACATGATCTGCACATGTGCCCTAGAACTTAAAGTATAATAAAATAAATAAGAAATTCTAGAAAGGGCTACGTCTTTGAGTCCTTGCATGGCTAGTTAAGAAATAGGTCTATCCTTTTTATCCTAAGTAGGCCATAGACAATAAAGTGCTACTAGGTGTTTTAGAGTGATGGTCACATACTAGGTCATTCTGATTATAGAGTGGATAATAATTTAAAGGCAGCAGAACTACAAACACATAGAAAAATCTGAAGGCTCTGGCATTGTAGATGGGAAACAGAAGGGATAATTGACCAGATTAGTGGTTCTAAGTCTTGGAAATTCAACAAGAGTGTAGATTTTGTGTCTGAGAGATTTATGGCACCATGAATAAGGAAAATGAAGTAGAGGAGTTTTTTAAATTTTAGAACATAATGAGAAATTCACGTTTTGACTCAGAGACACTGAGTATATGGTGCTTATAAATATTTATATTATCATTATTATTCCCTTATTTGTGTATAAAATATTGATCTGATATACAGAATACCTCAAGTTTAAAGCGACAGGACAATCAGTGAAAATGTTGAATATGCAATTGGAAATTCAGCTAGAGCATCTAGCAGACTGGTCATTAGACATAGGTCTTAGGATCATATCCCATACAAATTTCTGTATGAAAAGGAATATTTAGAGTTTAGATTTCCTTCAGGTATGGTAGAAAAGACCATTTCAAGGTAGCAATTATGTCAATATACTGAGAATTGTATTACAATTTTGTCTAATAGACTTGCTTTGGAAAACAGCAACAGAAATCAGAAATGTTGTCTACCTGTTTTCCATGAAAATTTTAGGCTTCCCTCCCATGCAGTAATTTCCATCATTTCATTATTAGGAAGCCCACTTTCACTCTCCTTTCTCAATAATACCTTGATTGTGATCATGCAAGCAACTACTTTCCAGTAGTCTTGGAAAATTATGAAGAAATTTGGATGCCAGAGACTCTTTTCTTACTGCTAAATGGCTATTACTTAGCTCTCTCCCCATGGCCAAGAATACCTGTAGTGAATTTTTAGCCAATAAGTGGTTTTTGAGTAAATGTATTAATTTATGAGTTAGTGTTTCCTTAACAGTACAGAATTTAACAAAAATATTTCTAATCATTTATAGACATTTGACTACTTTATTTAATGCTTTCTGTATCTTGGATCTGACCGTTCTTTCTGGGTAAACCAATGTCTCAAATAACTGAAGCTAATCTCTCAAACCACTTTATTTTATCCACTTTTGATAAACATCTTTTCAAAATTGCATTACGTACTATAGATAAGAGTATAAGCTTGAATTAATTTAACCATTTCACTATGACTCAAGTCCATTATAATAAGCATTAATCATTGTACTTTACAGCAAAACAATACAGACCTTAGGGACCATTGAGTTAGGCAGAACAGGTTGTGTTTAATATCTAATGGACCAAAATTGCTGTATTTTTCTGGTTGGTCTTCTATTCTCTACTGCTCTTCTTCTGTCACCTGTCATTTTTAGTTGCTAGGGAAACCAGACAACCACATTTGTTAAAACAGTAAACTTAATTTTAGACATGTAACACCTGAATCCGTGCATTTGTTACATGGATTTTCCCAGGTAATTGATTTCATGGAACGCTGCCAGTTGACATAGCCCTCTTTCCTAGCACTCTTGGAAATATCTAAAATGAGAAATACTTTTATTTGGAAATATTATCTAATTAATATAAATTCATAACTCACATATAAAATACTGTTGTGGTTTGGAATAGACACTGAGAATTTTTGTATAATTCTCCCCTCTCTCATAAACATCGACAATGCATTGCTTTACTAGAATGATGTAGAAGACTGTGTGAGTGTGCACACGTGTGTGTGTGTGTGTGTGTGTGTGTGTGTGTGTGTAAAAATGTCCCTGCTTTGGAATTCAGAATATTTATCCTAACTCCACGGTACTTTATATTCCTCTCAGATTCATAGCTGAGATATTTTCCTTAGGATGAACTCCTAAATAATTTCCCAGGGTTAATTTTTGAGATAGAAGACATAGCATACTCAACAACAGTCTTTCTGCTGTCTTCAATTAAATGACCATTTTCCCCATCTGCCCTAGCATAACCTTCCTTCCATTTACTTTGGCATGCCTGAATCTGCAAACCACATGATATCAAAGCAGTTTTTATCTCTTCAACTGCCAGTTTTGAGGCTGCCAATAATCTAGTTGCTGCTTGATCCAACTTTCCAGTCTCAGTCTTCATCTTACTTGACTCATCCACAGGATGTGGCCAAGTTGACCACTCTTTTCTCTTGGAAAAAAGCTCCTTCTCTTGGTTTTTGGAACCTCATCCTGTTTCGATTTTCTTCCTATTCGTTGGACTGTTCCCACTAACTCCCCTTTGTTGGTTCTACAACCTCTTCAAAATTTTGAAATGTTGGAATATCTCAACATTCTTACATTGAACCTCTTCTCTGTTTATATTGATTCCTTGGGTGACTTTATGCACCTGTAAATTTAAAAATTATTTCTATGCTGATAAGTATTTGTATCTCAAACAGTGCTTCTAATATGGAACATCAATGGCATACTTATTGACTCTGCTTGGATGTCTAAAATGGACCTCTAAATTTAATAGATTTCAAAACAAATGCCTGGTTTTCTCTTATAAAATGGCCTCTGTTTTTCTCATCTCAAAATATAATAACTCTATTCTACTTGCTGTGGCCTAAAATGTTGGGAAAAAATAGTTATCACTCTCTTTCTCTTAAATTCCACAATGAATTCTTCAGTAAATCTTGTGAGTGTTACCTTAGAAATATATGCAGCATCTGTTACGGTTTGGCTGTGTCCCCACCCAAATCTCATCTTGATTTCCCATGTGTTGTTGGAGGGACCTGGTAGCAGGTAATTGAATCATGGGGCCAAGTCTTTCCTGTGCTGTTCTCATGATAGTGAATAAGTCTTACAAGATCTGATAGTTTTAAAAAGGGGGAGTTCTCTCTTTGCCTGCTGCCATCCAAGTAAGATGTGACTTGCTCCTCCTTGCCTTCTACCATGATTGTGAAGCTTCCCTAATCACGTGGAACTGTGAATCCATTAAACCTCTTTCTTTTGTAAATTTCCCAGTCTTGAGTATGTCTTTATCAGCATCATGAAAATGGACTAATACAGTAAAAATTGGTACCAGTAGAGTGTAGCACTGTTGAAAAGATACCCCAAAATGTGGTAGTGACTGGGTAACAGGCAGAGGTTGGAATGGTTTGGAGGGCTCAGAAGACGCTAGGAAAATGTGGTAAAGTTTGAAGCTTCCTAGAGACTTGTGAATGGCTTTGACAAAAATGCTGATAGTGATATGAATAAGATCCAGGCTGTGGTGGTCTCAGATGGAAATGAGGAACCTCTTGGGAACTGGAGCAAAGGTAGCTCTTGCTAAGTTTTAGCAAAGAGACTGGTGGCATTTTTACCCTGCCCTAGAGATTAGTAAAACTTTGAAGTTGAGAGAGATAATTTAGGGTATCTGGCAGAAGAAATTTCTAAGCAGAAAGCCATTCAAGAGGTGACTTGGGTGTTGTTAAAAGCATTCGTTTTAAAAGGGAGACAGAGCATAAAAGTTAGGAAAATTTGCAGCCTGACGATGCAGTAGAAAAGAAAAACCCATTTTCTGAGGAAAAGTTCAAGCCAGCTGCAGAAATTTGCAAAATAACAAGTAGCAGAATGTTAATCCCCAAGGCAATGGGGAAAATGTCTCCAGGGCATGTCAGAGGTTTTCATGGCAGCCCCTACCATCACAGACCCAGAAGCCTAGGAGAAAAAGATGGTTTTGTGGGCCGGACACAGGGTCCCCATGCCGTGTGCAGCCTACTGGACTTGGTGCCCCACATCTCAGCCACTCCAACCATTGCTAAAAAGGGCCAAGGCAAAGCTCAGTTCATAGCTTCAGAGGGTGCAAGCCCCTAACCTTGGCAGCTTCCATGTGGTATTGGGCCTGTGGGAGCATGCAAGTCAAGAACTGAGGTTTGGGAACCTCCACCTAGATTTCAGAGGATGTATGAAAATGCCTGGATGTCCAGGTAGAAGTTTGCTGCAGCAGCAGGGTCCTCATGAAGAAACTCTGCTAGGGCAGTGAAGAAGGGAAATGTGGGGTCAGAGCCCACACAAAGAGTTTCTACTGGGGCACTGCCTAGTGGAGTTGTGAGAAGGCGGCCACCATCATCCACACCCCAGAATGGTAGATCTACTGACAGTCTAGCAACATGCACGTGGAAAACCCACAGACACTCAACACTAGCCTGTGAAAGCAGCCAGGAAGGAAGCTGTAACCTGTAAACTCGGAGGGGCAGAGCTGCCAAGACAATAGGAACCCACGTCCTGCATCAGCATGACCCAGCTGTGAGACATAGAGTCAAAGGGGATCATTTTGGAGATTTAAATTTTGACTGCCCTGCTGGATTTCAGATTTGCATGGAGCCTGTAGCCCCTTTGTTTTGGCCAATTTCTCTCATTTGGAATGGCTATATTTACCCAATGCCTATAACCCATTATATCCAGGAAGTAACAAACTTGCCTTTGGTTTTACAAACTTACAGGTGGAAGAAACTTGCCTTGTCTCAAATGAGACTGGATTGTGGACTTTAGAGTTAATGCTGAAATGAGTTAAAACTTTAGGGGAATGTTGTGAAGGCATAATTGGTGTTAAAATGTGAGGACATGAGATTTGGGAAGGGCAGAGGTGGAATGACATGGTTTGGCTGTACCCTCCACCCAAATCTCATCTTAAATTCCCACGTGTTGTGGGAGGAACCTGGTGAGAAGTAATTGAATCATGGGGGCAGGCCTTTCGGGTCTTGTTCCTGTGACAGTGAAGAAGTCTCATGAGATCTGATGGTTTTAAAAAAGGGAAGCTCCCTTTTTGCCTGCTGTCATCTATGTCAGATGTGACTTGCTCCTCCTTGCCTTCTGCCATGATTGTGAGGCTTCCCCTGCAATGTGGAACTGTGAGTTCATTAAACCTCTTTCTTTTGTAAATTGCCCTGTCTTGGATATGTCTTCATCAGCCACATGTAAGCAGACTAATATAGCATCTTACCAGATACCTGCTGCTCAAGTCCTTGCCACTCTGGTCCAAACTGCTGTACCTCTTACTTAGACCACAGCGATAGCTTCTTATAATATCTTCATCACCTTCAAAAGTCCAATTTCCTCCTAGGTGCCAGAGTGATCTTAAGTGAAAAAAAAAAAACAAAAAACTTCAGATAATTTACAAGCACTTCTTTTTTCACCCTCCAATGTCTTTCTGCTGAGTTGGAAAAAAAAGTTAAAAACCCTTGGCATGTCCCATAAAGCACTGTGCAATCTGGACATCTAATTCCTCTGTAATCTCATCTTCTACCAAGTGTCTGTCTCCTACTTGGATGCAACCACACTGGCCTCTTACTGTTCCTCAGAAATACCAAGTACAGCTTTTATGTTTGCTGCTCTCTCTTCTACCACATCGTCTGTTTCCTTATAGACTCATATCTTGCTTCCTCACTACCTTAAGCTCAAATATTATAAAAGTAGGCCTTCCTCATCATCCTTTTTAAAGAATACCAGATTGTTTTTTATTTATCACTGTCAGCTTCTGACATTCATGTTACCTTGTTTATTTTGTATCCATCAGTCTATATACATCCCTCTTCCAAGTAGAATGTAAGACCCTTGAGACGAAGAACTTCATTTGTTTTCTTTACTGTTGCATTCTCAGTACCTGGAATAGTGCTAGCGTAATGTACGATACAAACCTCTGGGACAAATGCATGGCGAATAATGAACTTGATCTCCCTCTATTCTACTGGCTTCTTTCTGATAAATGTTTTTCCGTAATCTACCCACAGACTCTTTTGGATTTGTACAATTTACCCTTTACTGTTTACTTAAGTCAAACATGTACACTAAATCAATTTGTTCTGTCCTGAGAATAATTCCATGCCTCACCTATAGTACAAGATCTTTGTGACAACTACTTTCTCTGATGCTCAAGAGGCTTTTATTGCCTTATTGGGGACTTTTGGTTTTGTCGAAGCTGGTTATGGTTATCTGAAGTCTGATTTTCAGTTAAGACTGGAATTACTCTATGGATTTTATTGTTTAAAATACTAGAAGTTTTAGCTTAAAGACATATTCAGGAAATTACGCTTGATGCATGTTGGAATTTTATCCAGCTACTGGGCACGATTGAGCCAAATACAAGCAACTTAACTCTTCTTTCTTTTATGTTAATAGTGTGTTTACATAAAACTTAGTGAAGTGACATTGAAATATATTAGAGATAAATGTAAGTGAATGTAAATAGCATAATGGGTGCAAATATGTCTCATCAAAGATCACACTGGAAAGATGAAGGATAGTGGAGAGAGCAGAAATTTCTGAAGCAGAAGAAATTAAAAGTAAAGTTGAAACTGACATTCATTTTTATGTTGATGAATGGTGAACAATATATAAATTGAACTAAATAAAATAAATGCAATAAATACATAGTATTGTAATACCAGTTCTAATACATCATAGTTATAGCACTGACTCAATATATTAAAGTCTCTCTGCTATAAAGATTTTCAGAGTCTGGCTTACATGCACATTAAAGGTAGCATAAACTTGAATATCATTTTTTTCAGTAGTGATATAAATGTGAAATAAATTTGTAGAAGGATTTTATTGCAGCTCATGAGTATTGTTTTCTTTCTGAAATAATCTCAAACATATTCTAAGGGATATACGGCCATAAAATAGGTGAAACAAATATGGAAAAGTCAAGTAATTTAAATCAAAATCAATTACTATTTTGAAAACTGAATTTTGTGACAACTGATTAAACAACTGGGAATTCATTAAATGCTGGCATGTTAGGAGATCCCATCAAACAATAGCCTTTTCTTATACTTAACCCTTTCCTCTTTATTTTAGTCAAACCAAACCAAACTTTCCAGTCAAACAGGAATACAAGGAGAGAACTTTACTAGCTTTTCCTGTTTTGTTTTGTTTTGCTTAATTTTTGTTTTAATAATGAAATAACTTCTCGGCACATTTAAGTAAAGTGCCTAAGTGGGTCGGATGGCTGAGCTTGCTTGCTCCCTAGCCATAATACCCTCTCCAATTAGTCCCTATTAACAGAATCCTGATTTTATTAAGGAGGCAATATATGTCAATTTAAAATCTACATGTCCTGGCTTTCTTACTGCAAGGTCTGGCAATACTAGACACAGACATAAACAAGATTTGAGCAGTTAAAATTAATTGTTATTTTATAAACCAAATTGGTTAAGAATAGATTAAATATATTAAAAAACTAGATTATTTATTAGGCTGTGGCATCTAGACAGAATAATGTGTGGGTGTGTAGAAAATTTTCATTGATATGTTTTATGTATATATGTATTTATCTTTGTATGCCAATAAAATAGGGGTAATCTTTTGATGAAATTCATATCTTGCCTTTTTAAACTCAATATTGCTTTAAGTATTTTGCATGACACTAAATATTTGTTAGATTATTTTATTACTGGCTATGTACTAATTCTGCCTTATGAATAATACATAATTAATTTAGCCATATCCATATTATTTGGCATTTCCCTTCATGTTCATTATTATAAATAAAACTATGATTGATATGGTCGTTAATAAATCTAAATCTAAATGAACATATCTAAATATCATTAAGTCATTTCTTAAGTGATTGCCAGCTTGGAATGTTATATTCAAAGGTAGGAATGTCTCTAAATGCTTTGCTTCTAATTACCAAGTATCTCTGGAAAGTAAGTAACAGTTTATCTTACCCTCAGAAGTATTTACGCACCTTTCACTGTAATATTACAGGCAATGGGTAACATTTTCATCCATTTTCAATATGGTAGTTTTAATGTCCATCCTCGTATTACTAGTGAAGTTGATGATTTTTATCAGGATTATGTATGTTTACATTTTGTTTTGAA